CAAACAGGGATGGGTTTAAGTGAATAGAAAGTAAAGTACCACACCCCTTCATCCAGCCGCAAGGGGTCCTCACCACCCAGACACTAATCCAGCATGTTAAAATGACATACAGTTGATTCAACGTGTAGTCTACCCATGGCAATGGAAACACTTTTAAGAAAAGTGCAAAGGCGTTATTTTTAAATATGAACGAATCTCCAATTAATACTCTTCCTACACCAAAAATATATATTTAGAAAGTAAAGAAAATAACGAATTCAGTTATATTTGCAATGTCATTTGTAATATGTTCACATTAAGTATGCAAAAACTTACTGGACCTGTGTTTTTTTTATCATTTAAAAATGCGTAAAGACCCATTTGGCTTCTATGATCCTCCTCAGTCAAGTTATGGAACCAACATATGGAATCAACTTATGTTATTACGCACACCACACGACTTCAGTTGGCATTAAAGGACAGGGGAGATTTGTGACTGAAATTCAGAATTTTACGGTAAAAAAAAAAGAAGATTTGTTTCCCCCTTGTTTAACGCATGGAAATGTACAGTTTAAATGTTTGTGCGTAAATAATCGGTTACTGTGCTGAAAGAGGACTTACAGGTAAAATCCTCACACCCACATTCTAATGTAAACTGCATCGACCTTCGCATTCTCTTAGCCTGTGTGAGAGAAGTGCTCATGACTGGGTGCCAGAGCGCAAGATAAGGACTGAAACATAGCGCACTAGTTTTCCCCTCGTGAACGCATTTTTTCTTTTTTTTCTCTTTTTTTTGAAGGGGGGTGGGGGAATAATCAGCTTCTGTAAGACAAGTAAATGTCAGCTACAAACAAACAACCACAAATGAAAAGAACTATAGCTGAGAGCTATACTGTACCTCTTCTGTCTCGCCGTCCTTCAGTCCTCCTGTCATGCTGTCCTCACGTTTGGAGAGATTAGCACGTTGAAACAGACAAAAAAAAGATAATATAGGAAGCAGAGAGGGAGGCGTGGATGCAAACTGGGAGGACGGGGTCTTTCTCTCAGAGTCCTGTATAGTGAAGTTATTCCTGCCCTTTTTGTTGGACGTGACTAAAATTCAGTGGACAAGCGCGTACGGGGAAACCTCCAGTGTTTCCTCGGATACCGCAGAGCGCAGCTGGGGAGTCACCAGTGAGCAGACAGGAGAGCCACCCTGGAACCTGCTCGGCTGGAGGAGAGACTGACGTGATCTCAGACTGAAAGGGTGTTTGTAGCCGGCATGGAATTTCTTATTTAGGGATCACAGCAGAGTATAATAAGTTTTTTGTTCAGTGAAACGTGGAAGTTAATTGAACCTGGCAAGGTGTGGACACTTGCCATACCTTAGCCTACGGGGAAAAATCCAAGTGGTTATAATGGATAGAGGGAAGAAAGAAATATGTAGTTCAGCTATTTCAGCACATCTAAAGTCACGCCTGTCATCAGCTGTTTCATAAGATCACATTTATATTTTGGCTAGTGAACCCAGTTTTTCAAGGTGTCAGCTTCATCAGGTTGTGAAGTCGTGCTGGCCACTCTGGTCTATTTACATTCTTGTGTCATCTCATCGTGGAGAGACGCCAGCTGGCACCCTGCTGTTTTCAGCCAGAGGGACTGCGATAGAAACAAATTTTAGGTGCGTCTCACTGGCGTGTCAATAAAAGAAACGGGTTGGCACAACGATGAAGTTGTTTTTACATTTTTCAAAGCTGTCATTTGCTTTTAGTTTTAGAGCAACATGCACAGAGATGTCAGCTCTTGCCTTCCTCAGTGTGAAAGCTTATCTCAGTTCAAGGAAGAGCAACTCCTCTTTGCTGTTTATTTTGAGGAGCACCTTATTTCTTATTAACTCTGGGCTATTTACTATCTTTATCCTGTAATTATTCTGTTATTTAATTTAAACACTTTGCTATCTACTCTATCTCCAGGAACTTAATTTCAATTGTTTATTGATGATTGTAGCGCAAATAAACTATTACAAACAAAACTGGTGTGCATTTGTTTGTGATAGCAACACGAATGAACTTAAGGAGCAAGAAAGAAAATAATACAAATTAATAAAAATTAAAACCATTTTTAATTCATTGAAAATTATCTATAAACAAGGGAGGCAAAAATGATTGAAGTAGATGAGTAATTGGGAAAAATGGATGAATATTCTCTTGTAATTAAACAATTGTATTAATAACAGTAATAGCTAATAGTATCTCCACACAGTGGAAGTAGGTAAAGTGATGAATGATTAAAACTAAAGGCTAAAAGCTATTGATGAATTATTACAAGACCTAACCATTACTGAAAAAGTATTAGTTGAACATAATAGCTGAGAGAATATTGCAGGGTTGGACACAAACACAGGACTCAGAAAGCCAGATGGAAACTCAAAAGCAGCTTTATTGCTGAGAATCATAACACGAGGAATGAACAAAGGGAGAAACCTAACTTTGAGACACAGGAGAAAGAAACACACAGTTTGGCAGAAGACAAAGGGAAAGCCAGGCAACATACACACCAGGTAATTACAGAGATAGGAAACACCAGGGAACACAGCTGAATGGAATCTAAGGAGACAATGGGAAGCTTAACTAACACAACCTACAGGAGATGAGTGACTATCAGAATAAAGCAGGAAGCAACAAACAGTGAGACCAACACATGTGAACTTCACACAGCGGCAGGAGATAACTGCAGAGACGCGACTGACTGAGGAGAAAGGGAACACAAAAGATGATAACAAAAGATGACATAATCTTATGAAAAACACAGACTGGAAAGAAAGGGAAACTAAGAAGCACAAGGAAACATTATGCTGAAAGGACTGGATGCAGAGCTAGAACAAAAACCATATCTCAAAATCCAAAACAAAACAAGCTCACAGAAAACTCAAAACATGCCAAAACTCAAAATGCTGGAACCATGACAAATATATACTGTAAGCTGAAAATATTTCAGAAATGTTTAAAATGCATTTAGAGGTTAAATAGTATAAGCATATGTCTAAATTGTTGAAAAGGCTTAAAGTAATGCATAAATGCTCAAATCTGTATGGAAGTGAATAAATAGCTTTGAACAAACTCACCAGTGACAATTTGATTGTTTTACTCAACATTTCAATAAGCAGGTGTATAAAATTCTTCAATAAATTCAAGTGGAATGAGTTCAAGTGGACATGTTTGAACATGGCGCCATGTAGGGATACAGGACTGTGTTGGTTCCAGTTTAATACAGTTACAGTAAAGTGCAGACGTATAATGTCATACAAGACACCAAATAAAATTATTTTTAAAAACCTGAAGCACTAATGTTTCTATGTTTCTTTGGCGCATAATGTTAAGATAAAAGAGCGCACCAATGAAGGTTTTGTAGACTGCAGTTTGTTTGCATTTTGCTTCATTGTCTCTGCAAAAGAACAAGTCTGGTGTAGGCATCATTTTTCTTCTTGCTTTCATTTATTATGAAGTACTGTAATGCTTTTTCTTTTTCTTTTTTTAGAAAGCTATTCTATGAATAAACACCTGGTTAGCCTCCTTGCGTTCACTGGGTGTGGCACTGAAGTGAGATCAAAATAACCAAATGAGCACCTGCTTCAAACAAAGATGTGACTTTGCTGAAGCCTGGAAGAGAAGCTTACACAAACTGCTACTAACACTGTGGAAAATATTAGCAAATTTAAGTAACATTTGTGCAAATGAGTTTGCACATTGTGCGCTAGCATGACTTTGTTTATGTAAGCTGAGGTGCAAAAAACATTGTGAACTGTGGCAAATTTCAGATGATGCAGTTTAAGTTGATGCTGAGAATATTAAAAACACTTAATTGCCACTCAGAATACTGAGAAGACAGAATCTCAAACTCATCCAGCACCAGTGCCAGAGGTAAAAAGTCATGAGGATATGGAACAGCAGCTGGATTCATTACACATTAGTGTCAATTGCTGAGAAATTACAAGCAAACTTATTATAATTTGCATTTGCGCAAAATTAAGTGGAAACAATACTAATAGAAATTCTTGAGTATTAGGAAGGAGTTAACTGTGATAGGAGAATAAACATAGCCATAAGGGTATCAGGTCAATGCAGGATCATTTTTTAAATTATTGCTTTTTTAAACATATATGAAATGAAATTTTTACATTGCATCATACGCATAGGGCAGCAACAGCAGTGTGGTGCTTAGCACCATTACCTCAGAGCAAGAAAGTCCTGGGTTCAAATCCAACAGCCAGGTGGGGCTTTTCTGTGTGCAGTATGCATGTTCAACTCCATATGTCCCTGTGGATTTTCTTCTGGGTGCTCTAGCTTCCTTCCAGAGTCCAAACAAATGCAATAAGTGGTTGTAGTTGCTAATATGAGCATCAGTGCTTATCTGTCTTTACACTGCTTATGTTCTGGGTTGATTTAATCCACAAAGAACAAGAGTTGGAGGTCAAAAGGTCAAAGTGAAGAAACCCTTTGGCTTGTTTTAGGCACTGGTGGCTGGAACACGCCAGAAAACAATTTCACTGCATTCAGACGTTCCTTTAATTTCCTTGTAGTTATACAATAATACAGCGTTCTGTTTCAGGCTGGGCTGTGATTGGCTAGCTGAAGCTATTTACCAGACAAAAAGAGAAATGCCAGACACAACAGCTCAACTTGCACCTCAAAATATTTTATAATTTGAAAACTCATCTTTAGATGGACAGAGTTCAAGAGAGAACTGTGTTTGAGTCTCTTCATTTGGTCAAAGGGGAACATCATGAATGTCTGGATAAGAGAACACTCTTCATAAAACAAACAAACAAAAAACTTCTGTGTAGCATTATTAGTGTTAATGCCGTTAATCTAACAGCTAAAACCTCAGGTCATGTTCCATCAACGCACAGCTCATCTTTGTATAGGAAAGTGTGTTATGAAATCTCAGCAAAGTGATTTATGAGACTATTTTGGCACTCACCTGCACATCACAACCACACTCATCTTCTGTGACAGAAAGAAGAAACCACACACAGAAGAATTACCTTAAGGAAAAAAAAGATCTTTATTTTTGTCATGAAGGACATATTTATTGTTAAAATAAGAGTTTCATTCCAAAATGTGTCAATGTTGTGTAAAACAGTAACCAGAAAAATTTAAATCAAACTCATAAAAGTAGCATCATTACTGTTAAAGTAAAGTAGTTTAAGTAGTTTTACTTTAGTGACAAGTGAATACCTTACAGTATTATAACCTTTTTGTCTTTAATGAATATATAGCCTGTGCTAGAATAAAAAGCCCAGATGAAATGTTGTGGTTTCATGCTGCTGCTGCACACAACTGTCTTCCACCTTCAGTTGTACAACTCTACTTTAATGGTCATCCAAGAGCTGACCACAAAGCCCAACAAAATGCATTGAAACAAAGCATTGCATCATACAGCGTTCAGCTTTTTGATTTAAATGTTCAGCAGGTTAGCCAGCAGTGCAACCACCAGTACATGCCAATGTAGCTTTTATTTCAACTGATTCATCTTCCTTGAAAAATCTGAATTGTGATCTACTATAAACTTAATTGCACTGAACAAGTTTAACTTTTGTTGTGTGTCCATTTCGGATGAACCCATTTTACTATCTCCAACAAGAGACTACAACGTTAGCGACTAGCTTCTAATGAAACTATAGCATCTACTTAAAAATTCTGATATTTGTTACAAGACTACAAAGGACTGCAGAAACTCGAATATGTGGAAATGTTGGTCAGTGTCACCTGGATGTAGCATCTGTTTATAACATGAGCCACAACAGTGAGATAATACAGTATGTGAGAGGTATACAGGCGTTTTAGCTTGCTGTCAAGTTTTTCAGACTTCAAACAGTAAAAGCAACTAACCAAGCAACAACATACACATTCTCATCCCGAGGCACCAAACAGGAGGTATAGCTGGAAATGTATACCCATCACTCACTGCTTGGTAGTGTAAAATTATAAACTAAAGCTCTGAAGATCAGTCCAAATGGCAGCAAATGACCTAGCGTTTCCTTAGTTGGAATCCTAGTCAGGTATTTTTATGAGAGCTGATGCAAAACCTTAAAGGCTATTTTGAATTTTCAGTGTGATAATCCATCCATCCACTGCAGGGTGGAAAGGTTCTGGAGTCTATCCCAGCTGTAATAGAATGAGAGGCAGAGTACAGCCTATAAATCACCAGTCCACCCCAGAGCTAGCACAGAGACATACAGTCATCCAGGTGTATTCAAACCTACAACCAATCTAGAACCAGTAAGCAACTCAACATGCATGTCTTTGGGCCGTGGGAGGGTGCCGGGCACCTGGAGAGAACCCACGCAGGCACAAGGAGATCATGCAAACTGCATACAGAAAGGCCACAGTTGGCCAGCAAATTCATATCTCTTGCAGCGATGCCACATTGCCAGCCACTGTGCTTCCCTGTATGTTGTTACAAAAGTAGTCACAGATTTCTAAAGAAGAGGAAACGTAACATTACTCATTACTGGAATGAACATATGTTGTTAAGTTCTGTCAGTGGCTTTGACAGAAATAATTTCTTTTGACGGTCTGGGAATGAGAAGGGATGTGCGGACTATACCAAAGTTTGGTTTTAGACCATGAGTGTCTAAGGTGGGTTTGCACTTGACAGAAGTGCACAGTGAAAACAGTACAAAAGCAAACAGACATATAAGCATGTACCTGACACGCAGACCTGACTGCTGAACTGATGCTCTCAATAACACATTTTAAACTTTGGACTGTGCAGATCATTGCAAGTAGGAGCTGTGCAAGCTTATATTTCAAATTAAACATTTATCAAAACCACTCCAAAATGGTAAAAATCATGTCATTTTTTAAATGAATTCCAGCTGTAGAAGTATTCCAAATCCCAGCTCACTAAGCTGCTGTGTTGCAGTAAACAGAGCTTATCCAAAATGCATGTACCACAGTCTCACTCAGCTCAACCAAGGCTTCAGTCGAATGAAATACGGAACTCCTTCATCACACTGTAGTAAAGTCTTTTGATGTCAGTGTCTGTCAATCAAGAACTAATTGTCCCATAAATAATAAATTAGAAAGGCCCCTCTAAAATGATCTACAATCCTGTTTATATAACATAATTAAATAACTGTATGCTCCATACATAAGCAAATGCCCATTATTATTGCTGATACAGTAAAATAAGGCTGCAAATGTGCAACAAGCTGCTTCATAGCACTTAATATTCCAATAAACTGCTCTTGAGCAAACTATTCGGTTCATTACACTAAACTTCCAGCTGAATGCTTAATATTATACACAATATATATAGATAAAAAAGCAAAAAATATTACATCTCTTAGCAAGTCAGCAATATGTTAGGTTGAACAGCAACAATTTTTACAACTCTGCCACCCACAAAGGAATGGAATGACAAACATTTTTTTTGGTCACAATCAGCAAAACAACTCCATTTTGGGCGGTGCACACAAGCTGTCTGCAAATATATGAGGGTTTCATTAGATGACTGCATGTGCAGATTTGCTTATTTGCAAGTCATGTTATTTGCATCGTGTCTTTGCTTGATACACTGAAAAGGGTTAGTGAAATATGTTCATAGCATATCTTAAATTTCTAATTTTCTAATGTTTTAACCTTGTTTCAGTCAGACTGAACACAGGTGTGTTTTTGCTGTTTCAAACCATGTGGTTCATTTGATGTGTTCTGAGAAAAAGCAGATCAGATTATATGTTTGACAAACTTAGCCCTCATGGCCACATTTTTCAAAAAAAAATAAAAAATCTACAGAATATTACTTTGCAATAACATCCACCAGGATATCATACTTCACTTAGAGCTGATGTATCCTACTCGCTTCAGTCACTCTTTCATCACTGACCCCAGTCCCCCCGGCACATTTCTTTCTCCCCAGGGACAGAAGTTTCAGTTTTCTGTAGCCTTGACTTGAATGGAGGACAAGATTTTCCCCATACTGTGGAAAAGCGGCGTTACGAGAATGTCCATCAGACTCCTCCACACAATGTGGATAGACGGTAAGAGCATCATGAAGCTCTGGATCATAGGCATCACCACCCTGGAGGAAGAAGGTCAGAGGGTCACTTTTCTAGGCATGGAGGTTTCATCACAGATTTCTGTTTTAAACTAATGTCTGGTATTTGTGTTGCCAGAACAGTTGCTCTTGTTATTGTCTCATCTGTTAAAAAAGTTTATAGGTCCTGTCTAGAAAAAGATAAAAAATGGTCATCATACTGCATTTTGAAGTTTGTTTCAGTGTATTGTGAAGCTATTTCCTCCCTTGGAATAACAGCCCCTGTGTATGGTCTCCCACCCAAACATTCCTGCCCTGTTCTGGTGATGCCTACCTGTGCCTGACTTTCTCTTAAGCTTATAAGCCCCAAGAGAGCTCAGTTAGGTGAAAGGTCATGTAAAAATTACTCTACAGTGCTCCGTGCACATCTAAAGAATGCCCCACTCTGCTCTGAAAACAGGCTCCAAATGCTGCTAGAGCTCCCTCTAACTGACATGGGACATAGGACATTTTTTTCCATCACTACTAGGGGAACTCAATGTTCCTCACAACTTTCCATAAGGTGTTCATTACTCCACATAAAATGTTGTTTCATCAAATAGACTCTTTGGGTTTTGGTTGAAGCTCATGAGCGCTAAAAACTATTTGTCTGCAGCACCTGGGTGCTGCAGACAAATAGAGCTGACATAAGCATGACATAATTTTCCAAATATAAGAACAAATTGCTGACATAATGTTTCAATGCCACACTGGATATGATGTTGACTGTAAAAATAACCTGTGTCAATGTTTGCCTAAAGAGCAGAACAAATATAGTGGAAAGGAGTTCATAATGTTGATGCAATGATCTAAACAAGGTAAACAGAATAAGGTAATAATTAACGTAACACTCTTGAAAATGTTGATATTTTGCATACTAGTTAATCTTTATGAATTAAGATGTCTTCTCTACAAATATTCTACTAATCTACTGTAAGTTCACTGCTTCTCAACATTAACTTGTTACAGTGGGATCATTCGTGTGTTCACATATTGTTGTCTGAAAATACTGTTTAGCACAACATCAGGACCTTGCTGCCTGAGAACAACTCCTTACCAGATGTGAACACAGCTGAGCACTCCAAACACTATCCCGAGGATGAAAGCCACGGGCACAGCAAGTAGAGTAGTCAACAGGCGGTAAAAGCCGAATTTGACCAGCTCAAAGGTGGCGTGGCTTCCAATCCACACTCTGTCAAAACTGTGTGTGGAAATGGGCTCCGCGATGACATCTTCAAAACCCACCTGTTAGGTCACAAAAGTCATAGGGCAAGCAATAAAAACATAATCAGTAAACCGAGGCAGGAAAGTGTTTGAATGTGATGGATTAATGCGCAGGCAGCGACTTCCAGGTATTCATACTGCAGATTAACAATCTTGCTGGACTACAAAAAGCATCCAATAATAGTGCAATAGGCTATACAAATAATTCATCTGGACAGCCTTCACCGTTTGTAGTTTCAATTTCAAAGTATCACCCAACACATCGCACAGACTTTACCTTCAGATGTGGGTTGATATCGTTTGGATCTCTGTCGGGTGACGCTGTATACACTTTCCCCTTGTTCGATAGAATGGGCTCTATCGATCTGTTGAACTCATCTTCGTCCATAATTATGCTGGTATCCAATTTCTCCTTCTCTAAACCCATTTTGTCGAGTCAGGCCGGGAGACGGTGCAGGGAGAGCGGCTGGTGACGGTGCGCTGTGCGCTGTGCGCCGGACTCAGTGGCACCCCGCCCCGTACGGAAGTCAGCGCAGCGTGGAGCAGAGGAGACACAACAAGCCCAAAGTCACTTCCCTGGAGCATTTTAACATTCTAGCAATGAGAGACGCCACTGTGCACTTTACTGGACTTGTATCATGAGCCATTGAGTCCCAACAGTCCTCAGGGTTAATTACTGGCTAAACAAACTAGCCTTTTATAGACATGTGATTGAGTGCGATTATTACACAGCCTGCAAGGCTTCTCTTCTCACAGCCCCAAAACTCATATTTATATATATAAAAGGTTTGTTATTTGTGAAGTTTTTCTAAAACAAACAGCAATGCTTTGGGAAATGAACCCACCTACATTCCATGTCTGCTTTGCTCCAGGCCTTTTATTTTGGAAAGGTACACCGAGATGTTTATTGCCACAATAATTTGTAATGTACAAAGCCTGGTTATTATTGTTGAGCACAATGTTCCACCTGTTGAGCTGATTTACCACATATTTTTTCTTTTGGTTTTTGGTCTGCATAGATTTATTGCCCTCTGACTCTTTCATGCTCTGAACCCACCAGCCAACATTGTTAGAATAACTGCAGGTCTTCAGATGTCTAAAGAGGAACAACAACAGGAAGACATTCTCCTCAGGCTGTTGGAGAAGAATTCGCTTCTGAAGACAAAAGTTTTACAACTTCAGAAAGTTGGTTAGGGTTAACTTTGAGTCATTTTGTGATGCTGCTAAACTGCAGTTAAAATATGAAGATATGGTTATCGAATCATAGGACAAGAGGGTGGTAGTAGCTCAAGAAGGAAAACAAGTCATCTACTAATTGTATGGTTGGTTCTTCAATCCCTGGCTGCTCTAGTCTGCATGCCAAACAGCTAGATATTAACCAAGTTGCTCTCCAATGCGTCCATCAGTGTATGGATGTGTGTGAATATTAGTTAGAAAGCACTTGCATTAAAGAGACAAGTTGACCAAAGCAGAAAAGTGCAGTCTGTTTACACACTTGTGTTTTCAGGAGTTAGTAAACATGACATGTGATTTCAGTTTTCTTAAACAGTTCAGTGTGTTCAGTTTGCCATATCTTCAACCGTGAAAATATCTGAATGTTTGGGAAAAGAAACATTTAAACCCAACTAAATGTTAATATTTAGGATACAAAAGACATGAAATTACGCTACTGTATCAGTAGTAGCATTGTACATCTACCAATGAGCTTTCAGCAGAAACTGAGACAGATTTGATTGTTTAATCTCTCCTATGCACTTATCTCTAAAAAAAAGTATTTTTCTTTTCCAAGGATGCAATCATCTAAAGTCCTGTAAGAACAAGATTATTACTAGTGCCTTCTAAACTGCTAGAGAAAACAAAACATGCTCTGGAGTGGGCTGGGAAAAAAAATACAGAAAAATGTGTTATTTACCAATAAATGTCAGACAGTAGTGGCGATAACAGAAAGGTATATTATATACAGGTATATATAGAAGACAAACCGAAGACAGAATGATACCAAAGTGTATTAAAGCCAAACCCAAAGTAAGCCACAGTGTTGGCAATATTGAAGTTTGGTAGTGTTTTGTGTCCTACTGAGTCCTATACCTGCAATGAATCGACACCACTCTTACCAAAGAGAAGTGGAACTTTTTTGTCCAAATACCTACTCCACCCTCTTCTTTGTTGTGGAAAAAGGATTACTATTGCAGGAGTCACTTGATGACCAAAGAAGACTAAAGAGTGCTGACTGTGGTGGACTCTCCTCTACAGTCACTTAACCGCAGCCTCAGTAAACAAACCAAAGATTTCTGAAGGTCATTGGAAAATTGACAGATCGTGCTGTGATAGCATGGATTATGTGATTTTAAAGGGGTAAACAAAAGAAATAGAAATTATTGCATATATGTTCAATGTGATAGTATATGAAGGATAGGTATGCTGTAGTTTTTGCAAACAGGAACAAAACACATTACAATATAAATAAGGACAAAAGGTCAACATAAGCTGCCTCAAACACAGGTGATGCACACCAGCCTTAACAAATAAAGGATGGGCTATTCCTAACTCCCAAACAGCTCCCTGCTTCTGTTAGCCTAGGAGAGGATGCAATCACATGACTGAACAAGGAATGCTGGGTAATGAAGTTTCATTAACATAACAGGTACTTTTCTACATCAGTTGCAGGACTGTTGGGAGAGGGACTGTGTCCAACAGTCCTGCAATCACACATTCCTGTGTGATTGATGATTCTAGCTGCTCAACAGTCCTGGGTCTTCTTCTCTTAATTTTTTTTTTATAGTTGAGGAAAGTTTCAGCACCCGAACTCTTCTACTATGAAACAATGCTGTTGTAAGAGATGCAAGATGGAGTTTAACATTGTGTTGCTGAAAAAGATGTTGTCTGGAAGGGAGTATATGTTGCTCTAAAACCTGTATGACTTTTCAGATGTTCAAGCTTCCAATTCCAATTCCATAGGAACTTCTGCCATCAGAGACGCAGCCTTTAAACAGCCTTTAACCAGTGAAAACAAGTTGGATGGTCTGTTTCCTTTTGTTTAAATTAGCTTTGGCCCAGTAAAGGTGCCATCATTTCTGGATCATGGTCACACATGACTCATTCTTTGAGATTTAACCGCAATTTGTCGATGGTACATGCACTGTGTTCACAGACAAAGTTTTCTGGAAGTGTTCTGAAGCCCTCGCACTGATTTCATACTAGTTTTCTATTTTCTGTTGTGAATAAAAATGGGTTAATGAAATTTACAAATCATTGCATACTGTTTTTATTTACATTTTACACACTTTACACACATTTTAGCTACTTCTTTGAAAATGGGGCTGTACTACAGTAGAAAGCTAAACTGTTGACTGCCTGCACTTTGCATCTCATTTGTTAATGGGCAGGTGCTGGATCCTGCCTATTGGTGGGCAAACTAAACAACAACATGCCTTGTTTGGAGACCTTGGCCTGGAATTTAAACAGAGGGACAAAAAAAATCTAGGTCATGACAGTGTCAGACAGCAAAGCAGAAACACATCAGGCAAAACAGAGGGATGCTGAGCATTCAGAGCAATCAAAGTGATCCCTCGCTCTGGGCACTGTGACAATACAACAACACAATCCTACTGGATTAACACACAGTGGACAGTTTTGACAGACAAGCATTCAGCAAGGGGAGGGGCTGGCTAGGTGGAGCGCAAAGCAGGATGGGAGGACAGTGTTGACATGAGAGTATGTGAGTGTATGAAAGAGTAGCAGAGGAAGCTATTATCTTTGGTTTGTATTACAGTTTGGATACCAATGGTATGATGATACTGTAACAAGATTTTTATGCAGCAGCAGCAACAGAGCCTAATAAGGATGCAAATGTTCTGTCCAAGAGCAAGATATTATAAATATTGGCTCAATTGTTCAAACCCAATGATTCTGTGATGACTTTTTAAAATATTTGCTTTGTGCCAGCATGATGTCCAACTCATAAAATTGTGTGCCACTGAATATGACAAAACTAAGTCAATTGAAGATAACAGAGAACCTTTCTCTGATGGCAAGCTCTGGCTAAGATATCATAGAATTTTGTTATTATATTGTTATCGGTAAATTATATATGAATTGCTACACATATTACCTTTGTTTTTTGCTTACTAAATTATTTCTGACATTATTGTGCTTTACATTACTGAACTCAAACATGCTCTATTTCTAATTCCAGCTCAGCAATTTTGCTGTAAACAAGTAAAAACTACTCATGTCTTTATGTGTGGCTACAGTTTCTGTCGTGGTTCTCGACCTCCACCGTGACACACCTGGAAACAATTGGCAATTAACTTACCTGTGAGTAATTGGCTGAAGAAATCCCTCAGAGGATGGTAGATTGTTGTGCTTATGGAGAATCCTGTAACAACATCTGTGGACTTTTGAAGGAAATCTGTGGATATCCTGCCTGCTCTTCCCACTTCTCAACTGTGAAATAACTTCCTTGGATAAACCTCTGTTTTGCTCCAAGCTAGCAAAGAAACCCCCCCAAACTGTTACATTTTTACATTTGTGTCCTGTGTTTGTATCCAGGAATCAAAAGCCTGACAGAACAATTTGGCCACAAAGATGGCAGAAAAAGACTCAGTCAGGAGAGCCCTCTCCAGACACAGAGCTCAACTTGGTGAATACAATTGGGTCTTCTCTCCTCACAACAAGGCATCATGCTTCAGGGGGTGGCTATAGCTCAGGTAGAGCAGGCCACCTACTAATCAGAAGTCTGGGGGTTCGATCCCAGTCTGCCACATATCCACAGGCAAGATACCAACCCCAAGTTGCTCTCTGATGCATCAGAGTATGAATGCGTGTGAATGTTAGAAAGCATTTAGAGCATAGAAAAAAGTGCACTGGTGAATGAGGCAAGTTGTGTAAAGAGCTTTGAGTGTTCAGAGTGGAAAAGACCAGGATATCATCCATAAAGACCTCTACACCCTCAAGCCCCTCTAAGGTCTCTAACATCTTTCGCTGAAAGATCTCATGTGCACTTGTTATCCCAAAGGCCAGCCTCTTAAAACAATACCTGCCAAATGGGTAATGAATGTCGTTAGTCTGCAACTCTTGTGGTGCAGCAGGATCTGCCAAAATCCACTGGCTGCATCCAGCGAGGAGAAGACCGTTGCCCCACATTGTTTCCTCAGGGGTAGGCAAGATATAGCGCTCTCTTTGGACAGACTTATTCAGTTTTGTCAAATCGACGCAGATCCTGGCCCTGGCTGTGTTCTTCTTCAAGACAGGAACCATGGGGGCACACAATTCGGTAGGTTGTCACCCTCTCAATGACACCATGGTTTTCCATTCTTTGTAGTTCCTCCTTCACTTTCTGCCGCATGGGGAAAGGCACATGGCGTGCAGTATGCACCGTATATGGCACAGCATTAAGCATCCCTTAACTGAATTTTGACTGGCTCAGTTTTTAGTGTGCCGCGTTCACCATAAGGTGCTTGGTTCCTGGTGGCGATGAGCGTTGTTT